ACAAAAAAGTCTTTCCACTCTTCGCCTCCAGATGGTCATGCTTTACGATTACTATGAAATCAAGACTCTCCACCATTGTTATCAGTTCTCGATGTGTGCCGGGTCTGGGCTAAACCCCCATTGCTGTTTATGGCGTTTGTGCACACCCTGGATTGTTCTGCAGGAAAACAAACCGAAGTTTGAGGTGCAACTTTCAATTGCGGTAGTCTGAACTCTGTGTAGGGGGGGACCCTGTCTGTCTCGTTCAGCCTTGGGTCTTGAAGTCCTAGGAGTGAGATAAATGTTTGCAGAAGGAATGAAGGAATGAGCGCATGGAGAAAAGGAAATTATTAGTGGTCTCTGACAAATTCCAGATTATAGACGCGTATGTGGTTTTTATCAAGAACTATAAGCTCCCCTTTGTTCTCCCAGACAGCAATTCAAAATATTTAGTTTTGCTTAATTTGGAAGCTCTTGAAGGGTAGGGAGAGATTCTATCTTCAAAAGTGCTACATTCTGCGTTGGGTATGTCTTGGTACTTATGAAATCGTTTTAAAATAACATGATATGAGGCTAAAATAACATGATATGAGGCTAAAATAATGTGATATGAGGTCAATAAGCTAAATGTCAGGATTGGTCAGACCATAGTATACACGCTGTGAGACTTTTCCACCCGGTCTGATTCATTATAACTTACGGTACATTGTCAACTTTCATGCTCATAAACTACCTCTTGTTAAAATTACATTTTCAACCAAAGCAAGTTATGGGACATAAAATTCTCATATTGTAAGAATTTTATTTATTTTTTTAAAGTTTATTTTTTTACTTTGAGAGAGAGAGAGAGAGAGAGAGAGAGAGAGAAAGGGAGGGGCAGAGAGAGGGAGAGCCAGAATTCCAAGCAGTTTCCACACTGACAGCGCAGAGCCCAACGTGGGGTTCGAACTCACGAACCATGAGATCGTGACCTGAGCTGAAATAGAGTTGGACAGATAACCAACTGAGCACCCAGGTGCCCCAGGTATTTTATATCTATATCTATATCTATATCTATATCTATATCTATATCTATATCTACATCTACATCTATCACACACTATATACAATTTTATATATATATATATGTCACACTAAAAACTGATCAATTAAAAGATAACTCTTACTTAAACTTGAAGCTTTAATACTTCATGATTTTGATTATATACTACTATTTTACCATTGTAATATTGGCCAGAGCCAATATTAATAATAATAAAATCCATGACTGTGTTCTTAAAATCTAGATATCTCCTAAATTTCTGAATAAGAATGGATAGATTATAAAATTGTTCTTACCAATACCAAAGTAAATAAGATACAAATTGGTTATAGTCATTTTCATCAAAAGGCACAATTTTGGCATTTCCCCCCAGTGGACACAAATTCTCATTCATGCTTTGAACTGCCCACTTCATGTAGCAGATGGAGGGAGAAGGCGGATGGGGTTAGCGGAACCATATTTCCCCCGGTACTGTGGATATGGCTCCTACTCCCCACCAGCCGCTGTCCTGGGGGCACTGAGAGATTGGCAAGAATTGCTAGGGTCTGCCAGTGGCTCCTAATTTGCTGGGTCCAATTCCACCTTTTCTGTAACATTGGGAAGTATATTCTGGGTCAAAAAAGGATAAAGAAACCATCATTTATGAAAGAGCCCAGAGAAGAAACAACGCTAAGAGGTTTTCAGCTTTTTCAACTGTGTGTGTGTCTGCACAGTCCACTGCCTTGAGGAGCTTTTAAATAGATGATACCCAGGCCCCACCCGGGACCCGCTGAATCAACACACATTCCTTGAAAAGAGTGTTGTTTAAAAATGACTTTTAGGAGGATCTCATAATGATCATTACGGGGCTGACAGAGCTTGCTAATTGAAGGGGGGCTGGGTTTTATTTATTCATTTCCAGAAGATGCAAAAGTCAAGACAGCAACTTTCTGTGTTTGTTTGCATCGTGTTCCTAGCCACAAAAGCAGAGCCTGATATATGTAGGTACTAAATAAATATTCATGGAGGAAATAAATGACAAAGTATAAAGACCAGATGATGTTTTCTCCCTCATGGCATAGATGTGCGCTCTGCCTTCTTCCTTCAAATGTACTGGTTTGACAGGCAAGATCTTGAGCCTTTCCTTGTTGAATGCTATCTTTTTATGTTACTTTTCTTTATTTCGGAAAGAATGGATAGTGGCCTATGTTTTTTCTGACTCACAAATGAAAACAACTGTGTTAAGAAAAAGGTTTCGTGAATAATCTATAGATTGAATAGAGAACCACAAAACAGAAGTCTTTACGTTTTTGACCCTTCTTCCCCATCCAAAAATAAATAGATGATTCAAAGTCTTGTGGTCAAAATCTTCTTGATGCAAAGGATTAAGAATGATCTTGGATAAAGTAGGTACCCTGTGAGGATATAGATATAGATATAGATATAGATATAGATATAGATATAGATACACACACACAATATGTAAAAAATCACATTAATATAAGGCAGTGATCTCATTGAAAAAATCTACTGACCAAACAGTATGATTTTCCACAGGACCCACTTTTCGGATACAGAAAGAATGGCTCGGCTGAGTCCAGTGGAAATATGTTAGCTGACAGGACTCTGATAAAAAGATTGTATGAAGATTATTAAAGTAATGACCAATATTTTACATGAGTGATGTTGATGCATTTATAACACCGTAGTCTTTAGATCTCCTAAAATTATGATAATTTATACTAGGTATGCCATATAAACATATTTTACTTGTTTGTGATTTTGTTAGGAATAGTTTTAGCAGGTACTACACAAGTAGTGAAAGTATTAGAAATACCAAATTTGTGTATTTATGAGTCCTTTGTGTCGTGTGTGCTTAAGAAATTGCTATAGATAGGTTTTATTTGCCATTACATTTTTTTTTTTCCTAAATAGAGGAAATGAATTTTGTTTTGTTTTTGTTTTTGTTTTCAATGACCAGAAGTAGATGAGTCATTTCAGGGATATTTTGTTGTTTATACTAACTGAAAAATGGGAAACTGAATTTTAAGGAAATTTTAAGTGATGAATTTTCCTCGGAATCAGGGACATATTTGTCTACCTGTAGGGAAAATCCAAGCATTGCAACCTAATGGATACTACCAAGAAAAAAAGAGAGAGAGAAAAGGAACGATAAATTACAAATGTATAAACTAAACTGTTCTCTTGACCTTCTGGGAAGAAGTGTCATTTAAACTGTTATTCTACTTTATTTATGTTGAACTAGCTCTATCCTTAATGAAATCCTGTGTGAAATATGTGAATATGGTCACTTTTTATTTTAAAGTGACACCAACTTTCTGAGGTTCTATATGGTCTAAACATGACCAGAAACGCGGCACCAGCATTAATCTTGAAAACCCAACTTTTTTCTTAATGTGGTGTCAGGGCTCTTGAAAATTAGCACGTAAACATAATTTCTGGAGTTAAGATTCCCATTTCCTGATTCGCTTAGCTGACTCCTTGCCAGGCTCACGAGGAGGCGGTGTGGGGAGAGGGCCTCTGGAGCCAGCCGGCTGATTGTGGGTCCTGGCCCTGCTTTGGGATGGTTGTGTGACCTCGGGACACAGTACTTAACCTCAGCGGTGTGAGTTCCCCATGCACCGAGGGGGATAATGACACCTCACTAAATCTGGGGCGTCCGGGAGGCTGCATGCCGAGCGCAGGGAGCTTAGCGTGAGAGTCTTCCTCACTTAGCTATCACCCTCCACGCTCGACAAAGCCTCACACGCTCTGGGCGCTTGCACTGGTAAGTGTCTGTTGCAGGTGTCCATGCCTGCAGCAGCCAGGATCCTGTCACGTTTGCTGGAGTCCACGTTGCACATTCGTGGGCTGGAGTCCCACGGCACTGCCCGTTCAAACCCTGCAAGGAAGGTTCCTTGCAGGATGTTCAGGAGGCATGAGACACGTCACATTTATATTGACTTCAAAAGCGGGCATTTGCGGGAGGGTCACAGATGAAAGTGGAGGAGGACTTTTGACACCATCTTTGACATCGGTCACTGAGGGTGAGGAGTAAGCCAGAGACAGCAGGATGCTGTCACCCGCGGTACTCACACATCCGGCGGAGACGTCAAGCAGGTGCTCTTGCTGAGGCCCGCAGTGGGCAAAGGCAGGAAGGGGAATGAGCAAACTGATGGACCTTCCCCTGCTGTGGCTTCCCCACTGGGGGCTGTGCCTCACTCTGCTCATTTATTGAACAGACATTTATCGAGCACCCGCTGTGTGCAAGGCTGTGCTGATGGCTTGGGTAGTGCAGGGAACAATCATTCACCTGGTGCCCATAGCCAGTGTTTTCTGTTATCGTGGGTCAAGTTCTTACAGAATACTTAAACTTGGAAGAAGAAAAAGTATTGTACGAATCTGAACAAATATGGAAAATTAAACAAGTCTCAACACCCAGGGGTTTTTGAGGCCACATGTGCACAAAATTCTCCTGGAGTAGACCCGAGGGTGGCAATTGCTATGCCATCAACAGCAACATGACAGTGGGCATGTCGATTATTAATGTACTCCAGAGAATAGGTTTGCTTTTTGTGATTTGTTTTGGTTTCTGATAGTCTGTACAAGGAATCCCTGAAGTTTTAGGAATCTCGACAATTCACTCACCTGACTTTAAGGGTCTCTCTTCCTCTAAAAATGTTCATTAGGTGTGTCAGTTTCCTCTCACTGCTGTAACAAATGACCACACGCTCAGGGACTCTGGAGCAGTACGCGGTCATTATCTTAACCATTCTGGACGTCAGAAGCCAAAACTTCGTTTCCATTGGCTAAAATCAAGGTGTTAGTGGAGCCGGTTCCTTCGGGAGGCTCTGGAGGAGAATATATTTCTTTGCTTTTTTCCAGCAAAGTCTAGAGGCTGCCCACGTTTCTTGGCTTGTGGCCACAGATCACTACAACCTCCGCTTCCTTCATCACATCGCCACCTCTGACGCTGGCCCTCCTGTTTCCCTCTTACAAGGTGACTTGCGATTGCATTGGGCCCAGCTGCATCATCCGGGATCCTCTCCCCATCTCAAGAGCCTTACTTCAATCACATCTTTTTTCTGCGGAAGCCGACATCTTTACAGGTGCTGGGGGTTAGGGGGTGGATGTCTTTGGGGAGCCACCATTCAACCTTTCTTTTCTGTGGGGAAAGGTGTGGGAGTAAAATTTCACTGGATGACATTGCCCTGAACGATGAAACGTAGCATGACGTTGTATCAACGTCAGAAAGAAACTGCTCACCACTTTCTTCAGAAACCAATTAGGTGTTGATATGCTCATTTTAGAGAATCTGATATTCTTTTAATAGTCTGTCATGACTGATTTTAGTTTTGGGTCTGAAAATGTGGAAAGGTTGGGTACGGTTTTCTTAGATGCCGCTTATGTATATGTGGGGTCTGTATAAAGTTTGATTTTTGCCAGTTAAGTTAATTTTAAAGTAAGATGAAGGGCTGCCTAAAGGAGCGTACGTGATTTCTTAACAAGCAAGTCCAAGCTTCCATTCTATCCACTCATCTCTTCAGTTTTCCTCTCCTGTTTTCCCACCGTATCGTCCGGTCCCCTCACCGACTCCTTCCTCCTTGCTGAGCGGCACCTGCCCCTCTGCAGCTCTTGGCCGGCGGCCTCTGCGCTCTCGACCCCCAGGGCCTCTGAAGCTTCTGACCCAGCTCTGACCTTGATGATGGGGCCTCCAAACCCACGCTCTCCTCCGGTCCACGCTCTCCTCCCTCCCCCACAGCTCCTCACACGCCTCCACGACGGTGTCTCCCGACAGCCCACCCCGACTGCGCTCCACACCCGCAGCGGCCACGTGGCTCCCTGCAAATCGGCAGCCCCCCCTCCTGCCCCGGGCACCGCTCTGCTCGACTCTCCCCCGTCAGAGGCAGGGTGGGCTCGCGACGGCTCCTCCTGCGTCTGTCGTGCAAGTGGGAGCTTTGTGAGGGCAAGGCTTTTTCGGGACAGCTGTTATCAGGTCTAGAAGAGTAGTGCCCGGCATGTAGCAAATACACGTGTACATTTGTTGCCCAAACGACCCTCAGCTTCACCTGTCGGTGACCCTTTTGCATGGATTTTTCTTAGGGCGGTTCTTTTTTTTTTTTTTTTTAATTAAACATTTTCTTTCTTTTTTATAATTTTTTAAAATGTTTATTTTTGAGAGGGAGAGAGACAGTGAGAGAGAGAGAGGGAGAGAGAGGGAGAGAGGGAGGGAGGGGCAGAGAGATGGAGACAGAGGATCCGAATCAGGCTTTGTGCTGACAGTAGAGAGCCTGATTTGGGGCTCGAACCACCAACTGTGATATCATAACCTAAGCCCAAGTCCCATGCTTAACTGAGGCACCCAGGCACCCCAGCACATGGAGTTTTAAAAAATCAATTACAGCAGGGTGCCTGGTTGGTTCGGTCGGCTGAGCATCTGACTTTGGCTCAGGTTGTGATCTCATACTCCATGAGTTCGAGCCCCACATCAGGCTCTGTGCTGACAGCTCGGAGCCTGGAGCCTGCTTCGGATTCTGTGTCTCCCTGTCTCTCTTCCCCTCCCTGACTCACACTCTGTCTCTCTCTCTCTCTCAAAAATAAATTCACATTAACAAAACAAAACAATTACAGCGAAAACTAACAACCAATACTTGTGGATTGCTTCTGAAACCCAGTGAGACCTATTTTATTTCTTACAAGAACCTTGTGATGAGGCCGGGGGAACATATTGTCCCATCCCCATTTTAGAATTGTGAAAACTGAGACTCAAAGAGCAACTAATTAGTCCAATTTCTTCACCTAAATTTGATTTCATCTTCTCTCAGTTTGTTAATTTACACACTTCGCTTCATCTGTAATCTCTCAGCTTTGTCTCTCATGACTGGCTCTTACTTTCAACCCTCACCCTCTCTTGCCTTACGATCTCTTGTCTAGACAACTGGAAGTGTACCTTCCTGTTTTCAGTCTTATTGCAAATCTATTTTGAAGCTCTGCTAGAATTATCTTCAAAAAATACAAATCGGGGGGCGCCTGGGCGGCTCAGTCAGTTAAGCGTCTGATCTTATTTTTGGCTTAGATGATGATCTCAAGGTTGGTGAGTTCGAGCCCCACATCAAGGGGTGAGGGGACACGGGTAGCACGGAGCCTGCTTGGGATTTTCTCTCTCCCTCCCTCCCTCTCTCTCTCTCCCCCTTCCCCAGTCTTTCTCTGTCAAAATAAATAGAAACAAAAACAAAACCGCCAAAATACAAATCTGATGTCATTCCTTTCTGAAAAACGATTTCTCTCTCCTCCTTCCCAGATTTCATCCTTGCCCAGACATTAATACAGAAGCTAGAACGAAACAATTTCTACAGTCCAGACGCAAGAGCAAAGAAAAAAGAATTTGGTACACACGATTTCCTACGTGGAACACATAGTATGTTTTCAACATCTTTTGGAAGTACTATGTTATTTCTCTGCATAGTTATTTAAGAGAGGCAAACTGCAAATGGCATTCCTTGTATGTGTACAGAGGTGTTAATGTAGCAACAGCGAATACATCTATCCATAAGATACAGTGAACTCACTTCTGTGTGTCTGGTCAAAGGCAATAGTTCTCATTCAGTATTGTTCTCATGTTAAAAATTAACATTCATCAGACACACATTATGTGCTGGGATGGTCTTGGATGACCCATCAGGCTGAGCTAATCTACTGAATAATATTGCCTAATTTGTAGACCTTGGGGAAATAAACCCCTGATTTTTATTGCTTCAGTGTCTGGTGTTAAACAAGTTCTAGAACAGCAGGCTAACCACAGGCTGGAGCCATAACATTGCTTGATGAGCTGTCAGCGCACTGATGCTGAGTTCTCGAGGTGCCACCGCCACAGCCCGCATGTCGGGGGTCCGCCCTGAATCTCCTCCAAACGCAAGAATGCCTGTAATGTGTTTCTTTTAGGTTCAGCTGTCAAGGAGCTTTTTCAGTCTACTAGTTGATGTTTAAAAACTCCGTTCTCATTTTCTGATAGATTTTTAAAAACAAGATAACTAGATATAGCTCTTTGAAGATAAATATTGAGAACTCTGTCGACTAAATTGATTCAGTTCAGCATTGTGCAAAATGGTATGGATTCCTGTCATTTGGGGAAGCTTTTAAATTTCTAAGGACTTTTCCTAAAAGGATCAGAATAAAAGACGTGAAGTAGATACCTGATATTTTCTATCGATTATAGTAGTTTTTCACTCACAGTTCAGGGACCCTGCCAGTGGTCGAAGCATTAAAATTTACCACGGCAAGATGGCAGCCTGGTGCTATGTCTGTTTAGAAACTCAGTGTTCTCTAAACACGTATGTTTGCATTTCCTTTGTGTTATGTGCAGAAAAAGATAAACAGTTGTGAAATGAAATGCAACACACTAGACACAGTGGCAATGTCTGAGAAGTGCACCTTCATAGCATTTAATGAATGCATTTCACCCCTTGGCCGTGTACCCAGATTATGGAACAAGCTGGACTGGAGAGGGGGCGGGCAGAACACAACTGTATGCTTCCCCCACTGGCTTGTTAAGCCCACTCTGTGGACCTGTTTCTCCTTGCTTCCTGAATGAAACAGACAGATTCTTGGCTTTTCTGATCAGTCTTTATTTACTTATTTTTGTTTCATTTTATTTTTGAGAGAGAGAGAGACAGAGTACAAGCTGGGGAGGGGCAGAGAGAGAGAGGGAGACTCAGAATCCAAAGGAGGCTCCAGGCTCTGTGTTGTCAGCACAGAACCTGACGTGGGGTTCAAACTCGTGAACCATGAGATCATGACCTGAGCCGAAGTCAGACGCTTAACCGACTGAGCCACCCAGGAGTCCCTCTGATCACTCTTAAGATACTTAAACCTCCTGTTTTAATATTAAATGAATCTAATGCAGTGCAACAGTCAGAACTTGACTCTCATCCAGCTGGAAGCTTCTTCCGTCCTGTGACTCAGCCAGCTTTGGGTTTGGTGGTCTACAGTGGGGTGGCTGAGGGCTGGGGGTGGTGTGACCGGCTCTTCCTCTTTTCTCCCAGTCTCCCCAACTTGCTGTGAAGCCTGTTTCTTACTCCTGGGGGCTAGGTGGGGAGAGGGAAAGCCTTCAGAGGCATGGGGCTGTGGTCTGCCGTTAGTCCCTCTGGATGGTGGATGTGTGTCTCAGCTTTTCCTCTCTAGGAGAATTTTTTTTTAATGTTTATTTATTTTTGAGAGAGAGCCAGTGCAAACCAGGGAGGGGTCGACAGAGTGACAGAGGGAGACACAGAATCTGAAGCAGGCTCCAGGCTCTGAGCTGTCAGCACAGAGCCTGACGCGGGGCTCGACCTCATGAACCGCGAGATCTTGACTGGAGCTGAAGTCAGACACTTCACCGACTGAGCCACCCAGGCGCCCCTCAAAGAGAACTTTTGGGAGTTCCTCAAAGATCCCATGAGGTAGCTGGCTGTGGTTGCTTTGAAGCCAAGCTGATGAAAACAAACGTGCTCTGAGTGGCTCTCAGGGCTGAGGGAGACGTGCAGTGGATCCCTGAACGTGTGTTTGAACCACGCAGGTTCACTCACGCACAAATCTTTTTCAACACAGTACAGTAATGTAAATTGTATTTTCCTTCTCACTTTAACAATATTTTCTTTTCTCTAGCTTACTTTATTACCAGAATACGATATTTAATACATAAAACATTAAAAAATACGTGTAAATTGACTGTTTTTGTTACCGGTAAGGCTTCCAGTCAATGGCAGGCTACTGGTAGTTAAGTTTTTAGGGAGTTAAAGTAATACATGGATTTAAAAAAAATGTTTATTTATAAACAGTGTGAGTGGGGGAGGGGCAGGCAGAGAGAGGAAGAGAGAGAGAGACAGGCAGGGAGGGAGAGAGAATCCCAAGCAAGTTCAGTGCTGTCAGCACAGAGCCCAACACGGGGCTTGATCCTCTGAACCATGAGATCATGACCTGGGCTGAAATTAAGAGTCAGACCCAGTCCCGCGTAATACATGGATTTTTGACTGTGGGGGGTTGGCGCCTCTGATCCCCACGTTGTCCAAAGGTCAACTGTACTGGGTGCTGTGCCACTACAGGCTGCCTGTTGTAGCGACCGGCTGAGCCATGGCTGGGAATTTCACCTGCGAGATGCCCCAAGCCACCAGGCTGTTGGTCAGAGGGGCTGGTGGGAACGCGGGAAATGGTAGGTCCTGTCTGAGAATGTCCCACGGGGTCGGGATGCTCTTGTTACTGGGGCTTGTCGCTTATGACATGGTGTGTCAAACCATTCTTTACTGTTTGGTGATACTTCTTTCAAGTTTGCAATAAACCCTTCAATAGCATTAACTCCAACTCCGAGGAACACAGGTCAAACTCCTGAGTGGTCAGCTGGCAGCCTCTTTCCCACCTAGGCCCTGCACAGAACACCAGTCACCCCCAAACAAGCCCCGACCAGAAGACCCGACTCCCGACAGCTTCAGAGGGCAAAGAGAGAAGCCTCTCCTGGGCCTGCACGTGGGCACCTTTCCACCTGGACAGCAGCTCCCACCTGCTGCATTCTTCTTGGCCTTCGAGTCTGGGCCTAAACTCCGAAAACAGAGTCCTGTCTGCCCTCCGTGTATGACTGTATTAGTGCAAAGAAGTTGAACCAAGTGGCATTTTATAAGTTTGCCTGTAAAGCTTTGAATAACTTAGTTTTATCCAACAAGGTAACTGCGAAAAACAAAGCACTGGTTAGCTGAATTCGTAAACTCACTTTTGAACCCTTTTTTTTTTTTTTTTTAATTTTTTTTTTTTTAATTTTTGGGACAGAGAGAGACAGAGCATGAACGGGGGAGGGGCAGAGAGAGAGGGAGACACAGAATCGGAAACAGGCTCCAGGCTCTGAGCCATCAGCCCAGAGCCTGACGCGGGGCTCGAACCCATGGACTGTGAGATTGTGACCTGGCCGAAGTCGGACGCTTAACCGACTGCACCACCCAGGCGCCCCTGTAAACTCACTTTTGAAAGGAATTTCTTTTAGGTGATGTGAGTAGCAGCATCTGAAATAATATATCTTATTGGTTCATCTTATAAACACACATGACTGAATGTTAGAAACTCAGGAAAAGCCAAAGTCATGGGCAAGGTGTGAAAAATAGGTTGACACAAAAATATTCTTAAGTGACCGAGGTGTTGGTCATTCGGGCAACAATTGTTCATTCAAGATGTGACAGATGAGCTGAGGTGAATTATAAGCACACGTGCCTGCAAATTAAGGGGTTAATGGAAAACAGCAAAGTGAAGTGAGCTTGACGTCCTAGCTCGGTTCATGTTTAAGCCTATGCCGGCATCATCGGGCTAATCCGGCCTCCGTTTATTCATGCAGTGGACATTGGTTGGTGCTTGCTCTGTGGACACTGGGAATTCAAATGCAAAGTGCATCTTGGTCCTCATGGTCCAAGACTAGTGGTAGAAACAGGGTAATTAACGGTGCAAACCCCATGTGACAGTTGCTAAAATTGAGGTAAGACCAACTGCCAGCAATGGACTTTTGGCCCCGGAGCCAAGCAGGCCACACTCATCTGCCAGATGACAAGAAATGCTGTTGGAGGGAGGATGCTTGCGAGCTGCAGACCGTGGTGAGCCATGGTTGGCCTGTTCTCATGCCATCGCTGTGCCCATGGCTGGGGAGAATGGCCACTGACTGATCCTTGTGATTATATATGATGCTGTCCAGACAGCCATCCTCTGACCCCAGTGTGAGTGAACAGCCTTCCTGCAGCGATAGAATATTCTGATGGAATATAGGAGGCACCAGAGTTCCTCCAGTCACTTGGGTGGGGAGGGTGGGGAGGGGAGCTGACAGCAATCCCAATCTGTTAGCTGTGCTTGGTAAACACGTGGCGAGACTTCCCATGCCATAGAGACCCAGCAGACGGCCTGCCTCCTTGGCCAGGGCAGTTTTAGATAACAGGATCGCTCCAGACTTTCTGTTGGCCAGCTAAGGGTTTGTCTGCCTGCTGGCCAACACATCATGTTGAATATGGATCAATACCAATGGTCAGGTAGAAAGATCAGTCTCCTACACACAAAGCGAGAAGGATGGTTGTTTATGATGTCCCAGTGAACACAGTGACAGGCCTGGCTATATTAGTTTGCAGGCCTAGTACGAACCTTACTAAAAATGTCAAGACCGTATAGCGGAGCATTACATCAAGTTTGGAGACCTATAAGCAATGGGCTCTGTGCAGCTGCCCCCAGTTAGTGGACTTTGACCCTGTGACCTCTTTTCTTGGCTGGATCTGGATTGATGGCCTCCGGTCTGTCCTGTGATGTCTCTTTTGAGTGATGTCAAGGCTGGACTCTTAGTCCTTGTGGTTGAAATGGTGTGAAATACTGATGGGACGAGGTGTCCTTTGAATTTAGGGAGGTGAACTGAGAGGTAAGGACTCATCCTTGAAGAGTGGCCTTCCAGAGATGGAGTTGGCCCCGTGTGGAACAGGACCACCGGAACTAGACTAGGCTTCACACACACTGGCCTCAGCTGAACGTCTAAGGCAGTACAGTTGGTCCTGAGTGCCGAGGGGCAGATCAGGGCTGGAAGCCAGGGATCCACCTGTCACACTGTTGCAGCTACAGGGCATGGGCCCCAGACTGCAGTCATGCCGGGGGAGGACCTGGTACTTACCCTACTATGCAGGTGCTCATGTGCATGAAATAAGGCAGGACTGAGCTTCCTCTTTCAGAGGCTAATGCCAGTTCTGGTTCATCCCTGTAAGCACTCCCAGATTGTGATGGTGAATGGGGAAGCTGCTCTACACTGTCTCTATGTTTTCCTCCCTCGAGTGTTCTTCAGGTGCGGTCTCTGTGCTGTCAGAATGCCGGAGCCCAAGGAAGGGACACTCAAACTGAGAATTTAAGGATGAGAAGTTTGCTAAATAGGCAAATGCACATACCTGTGTGCCGTGTATGTTGTGTGGGGTGGATGGGTAGTGGAGGAGATGAATATGGGCAAGAGAAATAACAGGTGCAAAAGTACGGAAGTAAAGCAGAGCAACTAAAAATCAGGAGGCTGTTAGTAATTGGATTTGGTAAGAACAAAGGGTGCATGTGGGTTAGTCATATGGGAAATGATGCTGGAAAGATAGGAAGGGACCAGATCAAAGAGAGCCTTTATATTCTACTAAGGAGTTTGGACTTTCTACTTTGTACATAATGGTAAGACAATGGAGGA